TTTTTTAATAAGTGCTTTTTTTTCATTTACCCTATGCCCTTAGGATAATTTCCAGAGTCTATAAATGGCTTTGTTTAAATAATTAAGTTTCAGGGGCAGGCATTTGACCTAATTATTTTAGGTTTTGATTGCCATACAGTAATGTCTGTTATAGCTACCTAACTCCACCATTGTAATGTAAAAGAAGCCACAGACAATATGTAAACAAATTAGCTTGACTGTGTTCCAGTAAAGTCATATTTACAAAAACAGCTCTGAGCTAGATTTTGCCAGAAGAGCACAGTTTGCTGACTCCTGGTGAGGGAGGGAGCCCAGGACTAGAAGCAAGCCAGACGAACTCCATCTTAGATCAGACCTCTAATGCCGTCTCACACTTCCCTGCCAACATGTACATACTACAGTTCTCTACACACTGAACAAAACAGGATACAAGTCAGGTTGTAACAATACTTGCCAAAGGACTACAAGTTAGGGTTCCACAAAAACAAGTTAGAAATTCCATTTAGAACTGGGTCTGCTTTCACAATAGCTTATGTATAACCACTAAGTTTGCTCTTTGGAGCTGACCGGTTACAAACTTACAAATACCCTTAGGCTGCCAGACCTTGGCAGCTTGATTCCACTCCACCAGCCCCTTCCTCTGCTGGTAGCTTTTATGTTTTCTATTAAACTAAAGCTTTGCTGCTTCTCTTCTTACCATTGCATTTGATCTGGTAAATTTTCCTTGAATCCTGGACTCCAACCTGGATTTATCTCAACAGTTTCTCCATAACATTGTTCTAGATGCTAATTAGTGCAGAAACTGGTGCTACTGTATCCTTGCTTGTGAGTGCCATTCTTGCATTATTGTATTTTTCAGATTGTATTCAAGCATTTCATCTGATTTTAGCAAAGATTCTTATGGTTTTTGTGTGACTGAAATATTCTTTATCACCTTTCACTCTCAATCTATTTGTTGTGTTGTTTTGTTTGTTTGTTTGTTTGTTTTTTTTAACAGGCAGAATTAGAGAGAGACTGAGAGAAAGGTCTTCCTTTTTTCCATTGGTTCACCCCCCAAATGGCCTCTACGGCCGATGTGCTGTGGCCAGTGCACTGCACCGATCTGAAGCCAGGAGCCAGGTGCAGGGCCCTAGCACTTGGGCCATCCTCCACTGCCCTCCCGGGCCACAGCAGAGAGCTGGACTGGAGGAGGAGCAACCGGGACAGAATCCGGCGCCCCGACCAGGACTAGAACCCAGGGTGCCGGCGCCACGGCGGAGGATTAGCCAAGTGAGCCGTGGTGCCAGCCTTATTTGTTCTTTAAAGCTGAAATGTTTCTCTTGCAAACAGCATATATATAGTTGGGTCATTTTTTTTTAGAATTTATTTATTTACTTGAAAGAATTACACAGAGAAGGAGAGGCAGAGAGAGAGAGGTCTTCCATCTACTGGTTCACTCCCCAGATGACCGCAATGGCCAGAGCTGCGCCTATCCAAAGCTAGAAGCCAGGAGCTTCTTCTGGGTCTCCCACGTGGGTGCAGGGGCCCAAGGACTTGGGCCATCTTCTACTGCTTTCCCAGGCCATAGCAGAGAGCTGGATCAGAAGTGGAGCAGCCAGGACTTGAACCAGCTGCCACATGGGGTGCCGGCACTGCAGGCAGCAGCTTTCCCAGCTATGCCACAGCGCCGGCTCTGGGTCATTTTTTTTTTTAAATCCATTTTACCTTCTCTGCCTTTTTTTTTTTTTAAATAAAGATTTTGTTTATTTATTTAGTTGAGAGGTAGAGTTACAGAGAGGGAGAGACAGACAAAGCTCTTCCATCTGCTAGATCACTCCCCAAATGGCTGTAATGGCCATAGCTGGGCCTTTCAGAAGCCAGGAGCTTCTTCCAGGCCCCCCATATGGATACAGGAGTCTTCTACTTAGCCTAAGGACTGGGGCCATCTCCCAGTGCCTTCCCAGGCCATGGTAGAAAGCTGTATTGGAAGAGGAGCAGCTGGGACAGGAACTGGTGCCAATATGGGATGCTGGCACCAGAGGCAGCGGCTTAGCCTGCTATGCCACAGCACCACCACCCCCAACTCCATCCCTCCTACCCCATTCTCTGCCTTTTTATCAAACTGTTTATTTATATCTAATGTAACTACTACTGATAAGGTAGTGTTTATGTAGGTCATTTTCTTCTTTGTTATCTACATAACTTATATCTACTTATTCCTATATTCCTCAATTACTGCTACCTTTATATGTACTTTCTAGTGTATCATTTTTATACCTTTTTTTCTTTTTTAAATACTCATTTATTTGAAAAGCAGAGTGACAGCAAAGGAGAAACAGATCTTCCATTGATGGGCCCACTCCTCAAATGGACACAACAGCAGTGTCTAGTCCAAACCAAAGCCAGGAGTCAAGAACTCCATCCAGGTCTTCCATGTGGGTGGCAAGGACTCAAGTCTTGAACTGCTGTCTGCTGCCTCCCCTGCACATTAGCAGGGTGCTGAATCAGAAGCTGAGTAGCTGGGACTGAAACTGCTACTCTAATATACGATGTTGGTGTTGCAAGTGGAGGCTTAACCTGCTGTGCCAGAAAGCCCACCCCCTTTCTTTCATTGTATAACTTGAGTTACTTCCTCAGTGGTTGCCTTGAGGGTTATTATTAATATCTTAATTTATTACAACCTCATTGAGATCACTACCAACATGAAAAATTGATTACAGTATAATTCTGTGCTCTCCATTTTCCTTTGTGCCATTATTTTACAGATTACTTCTCTATACATTATTATACTTGATCACTTGATCTTAGCCAAAGGCCAGGAAGCCATTCTTTATACATTATTGACCAATAAAATCATTTTGTGGCTTTTGCTTATATACTATTATTTTAAATTAGAGAAGAAAAGAATTGCAAACAAAATTGCTTTTATCTGTCTTTCATAGTGATGTATATACTATTCTTTATTTTGATTTTTCACATGGATTTGAGTTACTGTCTTAGTGTCATTTCATTTCATCCTTAAAGCTAGCAAAGTGTCTCCTGGAGGATGTGTCTGTTAACACTAATTTGGTTTTGCCTTTTTTGTTAACTTGACATTAATGAAATTACTGAGTTTTAATAGACATATTGCTTTGTATTATGCATTAATATTTCATCATATTGTATAAAGCTGTATTTAAGTTTTCATTGTTATGGTTTATTCCATAGAATCAATATACGAGTTTATTGGTTCTACTGTTGATGGGCTTTTCAGTTATTTGCAGGTTTAACCATTATGAAAAATTTTATTTTGAGCATTCTTGTGCATATCTGTCTCCTCTGATCACAGGTCCCTGTAGGGAAGGAACTAGCAGTGGCATTTCTGAGGTAAATGAGCGTTTGTACCTGTAACTTGTCGTTATTGTCAAACTCCTTTCCAAGGCAGTTGTGGGAGTTACTACTCCCATTAGCAGTACTATGAGTTTACTTTGTCCACAACCTTGCTAATACTTGCCTTGTCAGATTTTTAAATATTAGCCATACTTCAGGATGTGTAATTTTGAATTGCAGTTTCTATGTTGACATCTCATTTTTAAAGTCCATAATTTGCTCTAGGGCTCACTCTTGGTGCTATATATTCTGTGGGTTATCACAAATAATAATGACATGTGTCTACCATTACAATATTTTGCAGAATAGTTTTACTACCTTTGTGCTCTTCCTCTTGCCCCCCATGTGAACCCCTCGCAAACACTGATCTTTTTTATTGTCTCCATAGTTTTACCTTTTCAAGAATGTAATATTTTTGGAATCAGATTGACTCCTTTTACTTAGTAATGTCTTTAAGGTTGTTCCATGTGTTTTCATGGCTTGGTCGGTCACCTCTTTTTAGCATCAAATGATATTTTGTTATCCAATATATTACAGCTTATTTTTCCCTTTACTTACTGAAGGACAAGTTGGTGGCTTCCAGTTTGGGCTACTATGAATAAAATTCCTTTAAACACCTATGAGCAAGTTTTGGGGCAGCTATAAGTCTTCAGCTCCTTTGGATAAATGCAAAACGTAATTGCTCTAATATATCTTCTTCAGTTTACTGATACAGTGAATTACATTGATAAATTTTTTAAGATGCATTTTGAGAGGCAGAGAGTAAAACAGAGCTCCCATCCACTGGCTCACTCTCCAAATGGCTATGATAGCCAGGACTGGGCCATACTGAAGCTGGGAGCCAGGAACTCAATCATTGAGTCACAAGGACTCAAGCACTTGAGCCATCACAGCTGCCTCCCAGAGTCTGCATCAGCTGAAATTGGGCATGTTGCAGGACTTGAGCCAGACACTCTGGTAAGATGCAGGTGTCCCAAGCAGCATCTTAACTGCTGTGCCAAACACCTGTCTATCCATAAGGTATTTTCTGTTGTTACCCTCTTTTAAGATGAGTACATCAAAGTGTATATATGTGTTAGAAAACTTGCCTCAAATTCAGCGCTCAGAATGACACATCCAGGATTTAAATCAAGTCTAGTTAACTCCAAAATCTTCTGACTATTCTGCTTTATTAACTGACATAGAGATGAATCAAAATCCACAAGACAAATGTAGTGACTCCCCTGCCTAATCCTTTGGGGGAAATTTTTAATTTCCATATTCTGACAGTAATTACTAGTCTCAATTATTAAGCCTTTCTATGGAAACAACACAGAGTACAGGATCTCTTGTCATAAATTCTCTGGAGATCTGTTGGTTCCTCCAGAAGCTTGAACAGTCAGGGGACCTACAAGTAAAGATAAAAAACATGGAAGACTTCTGATTGCTACAAAATACTGAGTAACACATTTTAGATTTTCAAAACATGAAAAGCTTCTAAGGCCTCCAGGACTGAACACCTGAAGTAACTGTACTGATGTCATACATTCTTGGTAGACTGCAGATAAAAATCCTTTACTCTGTGCCCTTTTCTCTAAAGGCATTTCCTTCTTTGTACAGATACGAGGTATGCTTTGGAAATAAAAGCTGACGTAGCTTGCTTATTTCCTCAGGTCTGACTGTAACTGCTGTAAAAGACTCCGGAGAATGGAATTTGGAGGCAGGGGCGTTGGTGCTTGCCGATGCTGGCCTTTGCTGTATCGATGAATTTAATAGCCTCAAAGAGCATGACAGAACCAGTATCCATGAAGCAATGGAGCAACAAACCATAAGCGTTGCTAAGGCTGGGTAAGAGGTTGTTTTTTTTTTTTTGTGACTTCTGTGGAAACAGATTAATGTATCTGGAAATCTTCAAATATTTCATGGATTTTGCATATTATCTTTTTATTCCATTTTCCTTAAAAATTTTTAAGGATCAACATATTGGGAAATGTGAACATTGTTCAATTGAAAAGTATATTTGGTCCTCTAAGAGATTATTGGTTATCATCCTTCAAGACGTCCATTAAAATTTTTCCTTATTAGACCATAGATAAATGTGAGGAAATTAAACTATATTATTAGGACAAAAAAAGGGAAAATAAAGTATAAATGTAGGTTGACTTATCTAATGGAGAAGATTAAGGGAGAGTTTTCAGTGTAGAAGTTCATTCATTCTGTCATTCAGTAAACATTGTGTACTCTGGGCATATTACTGTGTTAGTAATCTTGAAAGAATAAAAAAGAAAAAATATTATTTTCTGCTTTCCGTACCATTCTCCTTATATATAATAATGGAAAGCTGATCACAGCACTGAAAAACTAAGTAATAAAAATATATGGCAGTGTGTGTGGAAGTACTTGTTGTGACACAAGGAAGCTCACTATTGGATTATGTCAGTCTCTGGCTACACATGACCAATAGGGAAAGAAACTTGACCTGATTCGTAAAAAAATACACAGGCTCTGAAGTGGTTAAAGGAAATTTATCTAGCTACAAAGGTTGGCTACCAAATAGGCTACCAGTCATCCAAGCAAACAACATGGTTAAAACCACCTCAGCCTACTGTTATTATCAGTGTGAAGTCAACTGATTGAGCACAGGACTGCTGTGTCTTCAAATAGTTGTAGGGGGAAAGTACTTAGGAGCTAGGCAGACACTGGTGTATATAGATTCTGTGAGATCCATTTATACACAGTAGCTAAGAGGTAATGCAAAGTACAGGGAATCTGGGGAGCTGATTTAAAGTCTTGTATAATAAGGTTAAAGGTAGCAGCAACAATGTTGATTTCCAGTTCAGAAGGATGTGTCCTTTTCTGTGTGTAAATGTCGCTTATCTTAGTCTCTACTGTTCTTTCACAAAACCTGGCATTCAGTTGGAAAGTACAAGACAGACAGACAGATACACACACACACACACACACACACAGGTGGGGAGACAGAGAAGAAAAGGAAAATAGGATGAAGGGAGGGAGGGAAAGTAAGTTTTTAGTATATAACAACGGTTGATAGGACCAGACTTAGTGATGACATATTTCAGACTTATGAGCAGAGTGGACCCTACTGAAGAAAGTCAATTTACAAGTCTGTAGAAATTACCAAAAATGAAACAGTCTAAGAAGAAATAAATAAAATCATATCTCAGCAATATGGAGTGATGCTGGATTATCTAACAAATATGTTATTAGAGTCACAGAATTTAGAGGCAGAGTGAGAAAAGAGACGTTAAGGGCATAAGAAATACTTAAAGAGGTGATGGTCAAGAATGTTATAAAATTATATCAAATATATCTATATCAAAATACAGATTCAAAGAGCCTTGAGAACCTCAAGCAGAATGAATATCACACGCACACGCACACGCACACGCACGCCATCTGGGAACATCATATTCAAGCTCCTAAAATCCAATTACAGAGAAAATTCCTTCCCAGTGGGGAAAAAGAAAGAGACATTTCATAAAGAAGAACAAAGATGAGACTGAAAAGAATAAAAGTTGTTAACCTAGGAGATGTTTTTCACAAACTGAAAACAAAATACTTGTTTTTAGACAAACAACTAAAAATTTTCGAGTTGGACATTTGGCACAGCAGATAACTCACTGCCGGGACATTCATATTGGATTGCCTAATTCAAGCCCCAAGCTCCTCTGCATCTGACTACTGGCATCCTGAGAGGCTGCAGATGATGAACTGAGTCCCTGGCATCCATGTAGGAGACCCAGATTGAGTTCTTGGTTCCTAGCTTTGGCCCAGCCCTGATTGTTTTGGGGATTTGGGGAGTTAAGTAGTAGATGGAAGGTCTCTTTCTGATTTTCTCTATCACTCATTAAGAATATAATTCCTAATGAGAGCCTGGTTCTACACACAAAGACATGAAGAACATTGGTAATGATAGAATATAAGGGCAAATAAAACTGATTGTTCTTGAAAAAGGCATAACAGAAAAGAATAAAAACTTATTCTTAATCACTTTAAAAGGTAATTGATTGAGGCTGGCGCTGTGGCCCTGGCCTGCAGTGCCAGCATCCCATATGGGCACCAGTTCTAGTCCTGGCTTCTCCTCTTCCAATCCAGCTCTCTGCTATGGCCTGGGAAAGCAGCAACAGATGGCCCAAGTCCTTGGGCCCCTGCACCTGTGTGGGAGATCCAGAAGAAGCTTCTGGCTCCTGCCTTTGGATCTGGCTGTTGCAGCCATCTGGGGAGTGAACCAGCGGATGGATAGAAGACCTCTCCCTCTGTCTCTACCTCTCTTTCAAATAAAAATAAAATAAATCTTTAAAAAAAAAAAGGTAATTGACCATCTAAAACAAAAATAACAATAAAATATATTGTAGGAGATAGGTATGTGTATGTGTATGTTTATATATATAAAATGCAGAAATAAAATCCATGATAATAACAGCCTAAAGAATAGAAGACATGGCTGGCGCCACGGCTCAATAGGCTAATCCTCTGCCTTGCGGCACCGGCACACCAGGTTCTAGTCCTGGTCGGGGTACCGGATTCTGTCTCGGTTGCTCCTCCTCCATTCCAGCTCTCTGCTATGGCCCGGGACTGCAGTGGAGGGTGGCCCAAGTGCTTGGGCCATGCACCCGCATGGGAGACCAGGAGAAACACCTGGCTCATGGCCACGGATCAGCATGGTGCGCCGGCCGCAGTGGTCATTGGGAGGTGAACCAATGGAAAAGGGAAGACCTTTCTCTCTCTCTCTCTCTCACTGTCCACTCTGTCAAAAAAATAAATAAATAAATAAAAGAGTAGAAGACATAAAATTTACTGTTGTATGCTATTACACTGTACATGAAGTAGAATATTATTTGATATTAGGGTATAGTAAGTTAAAGATGTGACCTGTAGAACAACTGCTACAAAATAAGAGGTATAAATTGAATCATAAAATAATCCAAAAGAAAGCAGAAAGAGAAGAAGGAAACAAAGAATAAATAGAACAAATAAAACATAGTTTTAGAAAGTAATATATTTAAATTCAACTATGTCCATAATCATATTAATAATAAATTATATGAACAATGAAAAGTCACGTATTTGTCAGTAGATTAAAAACATCCTGTGTGCTACCCTCTAAAAAAGGCATATTGGTAAGTTAAAAGTACAGTTGAGAAAAAAACATTATGAAAACACTAAAACCTTGTCAAGAAATTACAGAAAATTAAAACTTCCCCCTTGAACATAGACATAAAATTTTTTAGCAATACTTTAGTAATTTAAATATAATACCTTATTATCCTAAGAATTCATGATTGGTGTAATATGAGAAAAACCACTCAATGTAATTTACAATATTAGCCAAATAAAATCATCCCAATATATGTGGAAATGTATTTGACAAAATTAAATACCCACTCATGGTTAAAATTCTCAGCAACCTAGAAGAGAATTTCCTCTTCCTGTTTAAATAGTATCTATGAAAAACCTACAAAAAGCATCTCATACTTAATAGTGAAAAACTGAATATTTTCCATTTAAGATAGGTACAACTCAAGGATGACCACCCTTACAATTTCTGGTCAATATTGGAAATAAAAAACCTTTGGCTCAGAAAGGGAAAAGTTAAAACTATCTGTTTTATATAATATGAATTTCTACTTAGAAAATTCCAAAGAATCAAGAAAAACTAGTATAAGTGAATCTTATAGGGGCTTTGAAAATTAATTTTATTTCTGCATGCTTAATTGGAAATTGAAATAAAAATATACCTTTATAATGGCGTTTCCAAATAGGAAGCATTTAGGGGTCTAGCAAAATATGTTCTAGATTTCTATACTACAAGCTGTAATGTGTTGATAAAAAAATTAAATCAGAACTGAATAAATGGAGATTATATATATTGTTTTTGTTGATTGGAAGACTTAACATTTTTAAGATGTAGGATCTCCCCCCAAATAATTGTAAGGACAAATGGATATTTCCTGTCCATTCTCTGAAGATCTGCTAATTTTAACAGATATTTGTAGACTAATAGCAGAAAAATCCATACAAATTGATTAACATTCACAAGGTATCATAGAAGGCTGTACAATAATCTAATACCCATTTTCATAGGGGAGAGGGAAAAAAATGGCCATGTAGGCAATTTAGAAGGGTGATAAATGGCTTTTAGAGGAAATGACTGGATCCAAGGACAAACAGTGGCCTGAAACAAAGTCCTTCTCAGTTCTGGGGGAGGTGGTAATGAGTGAAGGGTGGAACTTCACTGTGAACACTGATGGGTGTGCTATGCAGATGAAGTGTCCTGGGTCATCTCTTGCGCTGCTCCTGGAGGAATAGATGAGATGTCTGGACACAGCAGTGACTTTTAGTACTTTCTCTTCTCTGGCGGTTAATATTTCCTTATTGTTTGACTTACTGGTTATTTTTTATTTTATTTTATTTTTTTTATTTATTTTTTTTTATTTATTTGTTTTTTTTTTGACAGGCAGAGTGGACAGTGAGAGAGAGAGACAGAGAGAGAAAGGTCTTCCTTTGCCGTTGGTTCACCCTCCAATGGCCGCCGCTGCAGCTGGCGCACCGTGCTGATCCGATGGCAGGAGCCAGGAGCCAGGTGCTTTTCCTGGTCTCCCATGGGGTGCAGGGCCCAAGCACCTGGGCCATCCTCCACTGCACTCCCTGGCCATAGCAGAGAGCTGGCCTGGAAGAGGGGCAACCGGGACAGAATCCGGCGCCCCAACCGGGACTAGAACCCGGTGTGCCGGCGCCGCAAGGTGGAGGATTAGCCTATTGAGCCACGGCGCCGGCTTGACTTACTGGTTATTGAAGAGAAGATAATTGTATTTCTTTTGGAAGAA